CTAAGTGGCAACACCAGGGGAAAATCGACCCGCGTTTATATATATATATATATATATATAATATATTTATATATATATATATTTGATTATATATATATTGATTACTTAAAGCCATTAATACATTAAATAATCAAATCAAATCAAATCAAAAGCACTAATTCAAAATAAATTCAAATCAAACTAATACATTAATATATTAAATAATCAAATCAAAAACACTAACTCAAAATAAATCCAAACGAAATCAACACATTAATACATAGGATAATCAAATTAAACCAAACCAATACATTAATACATTTGATAATCAAATCAAATCAGACCAAAAATACTAATTCAAAATAAATTCAAACCAAACCAAACCAAATTAAACCCATGCATTAATACATTAAATAATCAAATCAAACTATGCATTAAAGATACATTAAAGATAGGAAACGATTGGCATTTGAGAGTAAACATTTGTTACAAAGTAATACATTAAACACTAACCGAATAATTCATTGTTATTAAACTTTATCATTTTTTAAAAACTAATAATTATAAAAACTAATAATTAATAATAATTACTTAAAGTCACTAATACATTAAATAATCAAATCAAATCAAACCAAAAGTACTAATTCAAAATACGAAACCAAAATAATACATCAATACATTAAATAATAAATCAAACCAAATAAAAAACACTAACTCAAAATAAATTCAAACCAAACCAACATATTAATACATTAAAAAATCAAATCAAAAACACTAATTCTAAATAAATTCAAAATTCAAACCAAACCAAATATATTAATACATCTCTCAAATAATACTACACATAACAAATCCACAAACCCATAACAACAATCAAGTGCGAATGCCTAATTAGGCTAAAGAATACTGCAGATCAACCCATGTCACGATTTAAAATGACAATAATGCGTACCATCGTATCGTAGTTGTCGTCAACTTTCTAAGCGCAAGTAAAAAAATCCGGCATGCTTTATATATATATATTAGACTAACTGATACTATATATAAGTATATACTATATATATATACATTACACTATTAGAAAAACAAAGTAAACGTAATTAAAACCAATCTCAAAGAAAATATTAAACAAAGCATATTAAAATATATCAGTGAAATTAGAGTAATATGTTTATCATTAAAAAAAAACATTTCTCATATATATATATAATTAACAATAGAAAACAAAGTAAGTAATAAAAACCAATCTCAAAGAAAATATTAAACAAAAGCATATTAAAATATAATCAGTGAAATATGAGTAATATGTTTTATCATTAAAAAAAAACATTCTCCATGAAAATATAAAAGAAGTAAATTTAATGTTCATTATCAAATCAATTAGATTTTAGATTTAATTTATGATTTTACATTTAATCTATTAAAAAGGAAAAATTATAAAATTAATGGTGTGTAGACTGGTTGTTCAATCTACCAAAAAAGAAAAAAAAACTATTAAAATAAAATAAGTATATAAGAATGGAGGGAAGGAAAAACTATAGAAATTAATGGTATATAGTACAGTGTGGCTGTTTAATCTGAAAAAAAGGGGAAAAACTATAAAAATAAAAAATAGTTTTTGTTTTCCGATCAATAGCCCGTAAAAAAGCTGACGTGAAATTAATTGCTAATAAATAAATATTTTATAAAATACCACGTCAAATCTACTTTTCCTTTTCTCTCTCTTACTCAGTTCATATTTCATTCTGTTGGATATAACTCCAACGGTCCAACCCCACCAGCACGGCAGACGCGTCACCAGTGCCACAGCTACTACCACCACCACGCGCACCTTTTCCTATTTCCATCACCATCACCACATGCACCTTTTCCTATTTAATGATATCCACCCTTGTCTTACCCACAGGAACTCGCTGTTGGAAGTATTAGAGGAGAGAGCTCTTTGATGCATTTCGTCGAACAGGTAATGTGCAATCTCCCATGGCTTGAGGCCAAATGACAAGTGACAAGTGTATCTTTTTAAACGGTACTGGAAATATGGAGAGAACAAAATGCAATCCAAATCTACATCTGATATCTTTTATTATTTCTGGCATCTCGTAGCTCTAACGGTAAGCTATAACTTTTCTTGGAGTTAAGCTATTCTTAAAGCCTCTTCCTGTGCTTTTGATTGGATAGTTTTAAATTTAAGAACCCCATCCATAACAAGAAATAGTAACAATGCTTGCTGAGTAATAATTATGTGCACGTTTGGGACATTTTTATTGGTAATATGTATAATTGTATTTTCCACTTTTTTCTTTGAAGAAATTATACAAGAAAAGAGAAGATATTTCCCATATGTAGTTTAAAAATTAAATCACTAAAATCGTGTACCAAAAAAAAAATAATAATAAATCATTTATTATTATCCTTAATAAGATTTCCAAATTAAGAGATTTTTTATTTAAAAAAAAGTTTATTCATCTACGGAAAAAAAAATAAGAGTTTTATCTTTTCTACAAAAAAAAAAAGGAGAAATTCCTAATACATATTTTATAATTATGAATATAATTACAAATTAAAGACCAAAAATCAATTACAAAATATAGTTATGAATTATAATTTAATAGGCAGAAGCAAGAAGCAAGAAGCAAGAAGCAAGAGCATTTCCTATTTCTGGTTTAACACATTTCTTATTGATCAATGGAAGCATGAAATCAACAAGAAAACTTTTCCCACTCCATAATCGCACCATACCATGTAGAATGTACATCATCAAATGCTTCTTTGATTTGAATATAGTGAGTGGTCTTCATGCCATGAGGATTAGATATATGTCTCGTAAACAGTATTCTCATAATCAATGCATTTTCCCTAGGTAGATGAAGCACTTAGAAGAAGGAAAGGTATGTAGGTCCAAGAAATTTCAATGTAGTAACATGGTCGTATGCAATTTGGGGACACAGATGAAAAATTAATCTCGACCAAGTTTTAAGTAAGAGAGACAAGAATCTAACGAAATGTTAGCAGATATCACCAATAAAATTAGTAGAAGAACCAATAATGTGTTATTCGGAAAGGTAAATAGTTTCGCATATTTATACGAGGAACAGAAGTTCAATTTCTGAAAATACAGCTTGATTGTAGAAAAAAAAAAAGACAAAATAGGTTAAGAACTGTTTCCTCTGACAGACACCTTTATGCATTTAAACACATACATACGTATTAATTTATATATTGTTGAATGAATAGTGTCAGTGACACATTAAATTTTTGTTTCTCAAATAAATATGATTCACGACTCAGTACAAACTCAACCAATTCTTGTGATCCACATAAAGAGATATATCTATTTCAATTTGCCTCTAATTAAGATCTCAGCAATCTCCAACACGACTTTGACGCATACTGCACTATGTTCAACGATATTAATTTCTTTTCGGCCGAAATGGAGTTTCGGAAAAATAAATAAATAAATAAATAAAGAGAATGTGCAGGTAAATCTTATGCCAAAATAAAAGGTAATTTTTGGATAATATATACATATATATAGAATTAATGATTTTATTGTTTGTAATTCAAAATTGTTAGATTTTATAATGTAATTACTTTAAAATATTTTCTAATAAAAAATCTAACGTTATCATTAATAAAATTTTTTATGATCTGAATGACTTAATTAGATAATTGAATTTGTTCTAATTTAAATTTAATGTTAGATAAATAATAGATTAAAATTTCAATTTTAGTAAACTAATTAAACTTATTTAAACCATACATTTATGATTCAAACAATTCAAATATTCTTAATAATTTAATTCCTAATAAATCAATTGGGTTGGTTTAAGTTGAAAAAACTCATGTCCCTTAAATAAGTGGTCCAGTATTCGATATTTGAAACCAAATAACTGAACTTATTACATACACTGAAAATTTTAAAAACAGATAAACACAAAATTAGATGCTAGGATACTGAAATATATTATTTTAACAAAAAAAAAAAATTATAATGACAATTCGAACCAGAATGCACAGTTGGACTGCCTTAAAAACCAGTTGGACAGCCTTAATTGGTTGGTGTGCAGGGTACCTCTGCCGACACAGACAGGCAAGTGTCAACTTTCACCCGGCCAGCTAGACCTTCTTCTCAACGTGCTCTAGACGAGTTAAAATGAACAGTGGCCTGTACTTAGAGTTTTCATATTTAGATAACACACTAGCATTGCACATTGTCTGTACTCCTAGGTCGCAAATAAACATGATTTAATTTATATATAATTTTTTATTGATATTTTATTGTAAATTATAATATTATGAACCGGTTATATTATTAAAAATCTAACTATATTCATAAAATACAAAAATTTTATAAAATAATAAAATAAAAAAATTCAATAATTAAATATTTTTTTTATAAATTTACTTTACAAGGCAGTCCTTTTTTTCTTGAGTTGGTTCTTCCAACCTTTGGAAAAATTTTGTGACTTTCCTTAATTTACAATCAGATTCCGTCCAGGGTTATGGTTGGCACTCCTGACATGAGCTGTCGAGTGACGAAATAGGACCAGAAAGTGTAGGGCGAAAAAAAAAAAAAAAAAAAAATAATTAAATATTTTTTTTATAAATTTTTACTTAACAAAGGGCAGTCCATTTTTTTCTTGAGATTGGTTCTTTCCAACCTTTTGGAAAAATTTTGTGCACTTTCCTTAATTTTACAATCAGTATTCCGTAAACCAGGCGTTATGGGTTGGCCACTCCTGGACATGAGCTGATCGAGTGACGAAATAGGACCAGAAAGGTGTAGGGAAAAAAAAAAAAAAAAAAAAGCAAAAAGGATAGGCTATAGAATTAAATTGACATTAATTATCAAAAAATATTTACAGAAATAATGTTTTAATTGAGCACATTTGATATTACAGTAATCAGCTGCTAAGTAGGTGTTATTACTTATTTATGAGACTACATTATAATCTTTTCACAAAAAAAAAAAAAAAAAAAAGCAAAAAGGAAGGCTATAGAATTAAATTGACATAATATCAAAAATATTACAGAAAATAATGTTTAATTGAGCACATTTGATATTACAAGTAATCAGCTGTAAGTAGGTGTATTACTATTTATGAGATACATAAATCTTTTCACACTTCCTTCAATAATTATGCATGGCATATTGAAACTAATAAGAACAATTATTCCTGAACTAGAAAGCAAAATGCAATACAGAATATGAAAAATTAAAGTGTCTATATGGAATGCGTATATGGCTTCTAGTTCTGAAAATTAACAAAGCTTAAGTATTCATCGTTAATCCAGCTATACTTTTCCAAGAAAGGATTAATTGGTATTTGGGGAGGAGGATAATGTTCTACGATCCCTTGCCAAACATTAACATCATTCAAATCCCTAATTACTTCCCAAACACAATTATTGCACTTAAAACCAGCTCCAAGACTTATCATCAATATTCTATCCCCTTTCTTGAGCCTCTTTTTAGCTTCCATATACCCTAAAACATACCAAAGTCCACCGGCCGATGTGTTGCCAAATCTATGAAGTGCCATTCTTGCTGGTTCGAGATCATAGTCACTTAAACCTAAGCTCTTCCCAATCCCTTCAATCACCGCCTTCCCACCTGGATGTATGCAGAAATGCTCCACTCCTGCTTTGAGATTCAAGCCTGTCGCTCCTGTTGAGGTTTTGGCTCGGCTTTTGTACTTAGAAACAAAAACATAACGAATCAGTTCTATAACTGGTAAGATTTTGGGCACTATCACATGGAGATTCTTGGAAAGTGCTGTAGATCCAACTTTTGGGAGGTTTCTTGAGAGATGGAAACCTCTGTAGCCAAGATCATCCTCTACTTGTATACAACATTCGTACGCCTGGTCGTTTGAGCCAATGTGAGTACGAATAAGATGGTTTAATTTCAAGATAGCTTGACTCTTTAAAGCTCTATTGTTTGTGAAAAGCATAGAACAACCTCCTGAGCGGAAAAGACAGTTAGAGAGAATCATAGATTTCTCTTTTCCGCAATACCAGTTAGGACCTATTGATTCTGTGCTTACAACAAGAGCAGTTACATTCTTATATGACTTGAATAATTGTTGAACAATATCAATAGCTACAAGACTTGCACTGCAACCCATTCCTGAAAGATTGAAAGACTTGATATTTTCTCTCATCTTGTACCGGTTAACTATTCTTGACGTTAAACATGGTGAAGGAGAGAATAAAGAAACATTTACGACAAGAATATCAATTTGTGAAGGAGAAATTGTTGATTTTTCAAAAACCTTATCAACTGTAGAGAAAATAATATCATCTGTTTCAAACAATGCTTCATCTAAAGATGGAGATTCTTCATGGCCTGTAAGCACATTTTTCGGGCCATAAGTTTCTTCTCCAATGCCAGAATTAACAATGGTCTTTAATAAAAACCTATATTCTTCAAGACCCAAGTTTTTATTTCGGAAAACAAGATTAGCACATGATTCTGAGTCAAGTTTCCTGTCTTCAGGACCTTTATAGCACTCATATGCCAACATATAGCAGAAATGGTCTCTGCTACTAGAAACCAATTTGCGGAAGCAGAAAATGATAAAAGGAAAAAGAAGCGAGAAAATTAGAATGGAGGATTCCATTATTAAAAATTTAAAAATGTAAGGCTTCTGTGTGAGAGACCTTACTGTTTTTCTGTCTCTTTAGAAACTGCAATTTTGCAGTTGTACAACACCCTATTTATTCAATTTCGAAGGTGTCTCAACTACCAAAATGAATTATCACAGACTGTAAAGTAATAATAGTAATTGCACTACTAACAGTAACAATTAAGCTTGTCAACTTGGAGTTACATATATATATTTCTTTTTTTATCTTTTATTCTATTTATGTTTTCTTGGATACAAGCGAAACACTACAATATTAGAGGTTTTCCAGAACAAAACCATTAGCTAGAGTACACAGAATTGCAAAACAAATTGTATCCAGTGCATAGATTTTCCTGTCAGAGTGCTTATTGCACTACTTTTCTTGGATTGAAAGTCCTTAGATATGTTGAAGATAACAGCTAGTTAATTCAAAAGATAGTATTGGTTTTATATTAGCAGCTCATATAATTCTCTCAAGGAAATGTTTTGGAGGTTAAGCATGCATGTTCTTTCTATACTATATAAAGTTCATAAAAGCCCAAGCTTGATAAGTAGATTAGTGTTAAATTATCTTACGTAAAATTACTTAATTTGTTAATTTAATACACATCCATTTATAGGCTCTATAATATATTTTATAATTATTAAGTGTTTGTTTTATTTTCCAACATATACTTGTGTTGGCACCATATTTATATTTTATGCATCGGCCATAAATTATTTGCTTTTTGTCATAATTTTTATTTGATTGATTTGGGTCAATTTTATGATTCTGAAAACTGCATAGGATCAGATGAGTCCAGCTAATGTGAATTGTAGCTGATGTGTCATATAGAATAGAATGCATGAATAGTGATATTGTTGAATGTCTATTTATGAGAAAAACTTATCTAGATCGAGTCCATAACCCTACTTATAGACCAAACCAATGAAATTAAGGATTCCTATTGAAAGAAGAGTATTTTTGACCATATACTTGAAAAAAAAAAGATAAAATTCGAAACATTTTTTAAAGAATTCTTAATTTCTTTTGTTTAGTCCACAGGTGGAGTCATTAATCCGGTCTAAGCAATTTTTTTCTATCTATTTATAAATATTGGATTTTAAAAATCTCCCTTGCACTACTTTCATATTCTCTCTTTTTCTTTTCTAGATCCACAATTTAATATGCAGTCAATCGCTGTAAAACAATAAATGCCCACATTGTCTAAGGACCCTTTGGAAATAGAAAGTGTGGTTGATAAAGTCTATTTATTTATTTATTTTTAATTCATCATCTTAATATACCAAATAAACATTAGCGTTGGAGATCATTATTTTAAAAAAAATTTCCATTTTTCTAATGTTGCAAATAAATAAGAGCAATCCACATTATTGGAGATGCTCTCATTCCTCTCTCGTCCATGAATCAATCTTTCTAAATCAATGAACCATGTAATGATTCGTCTCGCAAGTGATTCAACTGATTTTGGTGTTCATCTCTTCCACTTCAATTCTCATCTTCAAGAAAGCTAGAGTATTTCCAATCGAAAAGCGAGATGGCCAAATCTGAAGAGGACTGGTCTGATATATTCTGGTAGGGCTAAAAAGACTAGGCAAAGGAGAGTGGAAAGGCATTTCTAAAAACTTTGTCTAGAGAAAATTATAATCATATCCCTGTATTTTGTCAAAATTAAATATTTTACCTTGTATTTTTTAAAATAAACTATCATGCCTTTATATTTCAAGTCCATCAAACATTGTCCCCTTTGGTCCATTTTATATACTTTCAGGCATTAAATCACTATAAAATGATTTCAATGACCCTAACTAAAAGGCAAAATCAATTCTGTTTTGAAATCAATTATGTGCCTTGCCGGAACGTTGCCGGTGCCGTTGCTCGTGGTGGCCAAAAAACTTGTATAATCTTTCAACCTAACCACCAAAATGGTTATAATTTTATGAGAAACTCAATTTTTACATCCATTTTTTTTTTTAATCACAATTAAAGCTCATATCAAGAAATTCTCAAACCCCAAACTTTCAAACTCAAATTTCACTAATCTTCCATAAAGCTAAAATTTGTTGAAGGAAAAGTATCACCTGACATGTTCATAGTTTCTCTATAAATCAAAAATCACAATCTTATTATTATTTCAATAATAACAGTAAAGAAGAAGAAGAATTTCTATTACTATATAAATTACTGATGATATTAATATATATTCCCCAAATCTTACAACCGAATCCATCATCTCTTCTTCTTTTCATTTTTTTCTTCTTTTAAAGAGATAAACTAGAGAAAGAAATTGTATAAATCAATCAGTATCCAGTATGCTAAACTAAGTAGTATAATCGTTACTTTGATATCTCTCATTTTTATGTTTGGGTTTTGATTTCAGTTTGTCAATTTAAGTTTTACAGTTTCAGCAAATGGTTGAAAATGGTGGTGTTGTTGCAATAGTTAGAGAGAAGAAGAAGCTTGAAGAAGTCTTTTTTTTCCATATTAAATCCTACCTGATCATATTCTTAGAACATCTCAGGAATATTTCGATACTTTTTAATTTCTCTCTCTTTAGACCGTTATAATCTACGTTGACTTATTCTTTGAAAGTATAAAAAATGGACGGAAGAGATACATGGTGTGGTAGACTGAAAATATAAGGACATGAAAGTGTATTTTAAAAATTTCAAAGATAAAAATATAAAAAGTAAAGTAATTAATTTTGACAAAACATAAGGGATAGGATTATAATTTTTTATTACAAGAACTCCAACTCAAGTAGCATGTCATGCACAAAAATATTGTCTCTAGGATGTATTTGTATTTTCATTTTTTTTCTTCGCATATATAATTTGCTTTTTATTGATTTTTTGCTTTATTTAATTTCTCAAATTGAGACTGATAAATCTCAAATTGAGTCATCTGAACATAATATTTTTTTGCATTGAAGAACAACAAATCTTCTGACTCAACCGAGTTGGTGATAGGTGTTATTTTTATAGTATTTTTAATATAGTTTTTATTAGGAATTCTAGTAGTTTTAATTACTTTAATTAATTTTTATTTAGTTTATTTATGTTTTTGTTCAAAGCTTCCTTGAATCATAATTTACTTGATGTTAAGGAAATTTGTAGGATTTTGACACAGAAAAGAGCAAAGTAAGCAAAACTGTTTTAATTACTTTAATAATTTTTATTAAGTTTATTTATGTTTTTTGTTCAAAGCTTCCTTTCTTGAATCATAATTTACTTGATGTTAAGGAAATTTGTAGGATTTTGACACAGAAAAGAGCAAAGTAAGCAAAACTCTCAGAGGCTGGCACGCTCGTGCTGAAGTTCCGGTTTTGCCTTGGGCCTAAAACGTCAGCCCATCCTGCATCACTTGCATGAACCCACATGAGATGATTTCCTGACATGAAAATTAAGTTTTAATCCTATTTAGACGCTGGGAGAGTCCTAATTGGGAAGAAATACAAAGCTTGAACAGTTTCTTATCTCCAAAAAATTTCTTATTCAATAAAGATTCACTTTCCTAGATGAATACGAAGATGCTCCAGAAAGTCTATATAAATAGAGAGACTAGTCATATGGAGCCATTCATTGTATATTCCATCTTTTGTTCTATTGTTTTCTCTCTCTCCAAGACTTCAAGTATTCAAGATTTGTGTCAAGATTCAAGGAAACTTAACTAGTTTTTATTTCTAAACTCTTTTCTTGTTTTATTTTCAATATTTATGTTGATTATGAGAATATTTACAAGTTTAATTGAGTTTTATTTAATGGTTTTATTTACATTAACTATGTGAACTAAAACTCTCGTAACTAAGGGATTTAATGTAAGCTTTAATTTTGATTTCAATTTTATAATATTAGATTTGTTTTTCTTGTTCATAATATAATTTATTATTGAACTTAATGCTTCCAAGCAGAGTTTCTCCCTAGGATTGATTTATTTCATTAATATATCGGGAGAAGAGTTTAATATGAAAATAATGGGTAATAAATTACATGAGAAATATAACTTGATGCGAAAGCTATATGGTTGACTCATGGAGGGTTTCCATAAGTTAATGACCTTAGGTTATGAATTCATAAACAAACCATAAAACTTAATGATTTAAATTTATGTTTGATGCGCTATTGGAAAATAGGTAAATTAGACCGGGTTAAAATGCTAAAAATATATCTGGGAGAAGCTTATTAGTGATTTTAGGGTTATTCCGCCTAACTTAAACAATTAAAATTGATTTATCAAAGTAATAAAATAAATTGGATAGATTAAGTGAAGTCAAAATCCATAGTCAGCTTCAAATCCTTGATTTCTTTTCGTCAAAATATTGTTGCTTGATTTCTTTTTGTTTTTTTTATTTGTTTAATTTAATTTCTTAAAATAATTCTCCTTATTGCCATTTAAATAATAATAGGCTAACATAATTTTAATACTTGGTATACAATTTCTGTGAAAATGATACTCTACTCATTCTATATTAATTATTGTGATTTTCGTATACTTGTGAAAAATCACTGTCATTTAGATTTGACTTAGATATATTAACTCACTATTGCATCATTATTAAGTATTGACGACTTTCTTCTAATGGGACCCATTATCAATGTCACATGATTACTAGAAATTAAATTCTAGTGCCATGTGTAATTAGTACAAATGGTTTATTTTAATATATTTTATGAAATTCAATATATTGAAATAGATTAAAGCCTTGTTTGGTAACAACTTTTTAAGTAGCTTTTAATTTTTAGAGTAGTCAAATGTTAAATGCTATTTTTTTTATAATGTTCGGTAACATAGTATTTGAATTAACTTTAGAAGTTAATGTAATATTTTATAAAAAATTAACTCATGTCATTTTTAGCTTTTAGCTTTTCGTGAAAAGCTATTAAAACAGCTAACGACTAAACACTACTAAAACAACTAACAGGTTTTAATTTTTGGACCAGTCAAAATGCTAAATGCTACTTTTTTATAGTATTTGATAATATAGTATTTGAATTAGCTTTAAAAGTTAATGTAATGTTTTCGTGAAAAGCTACTAAAACAGCTAACGACTAAACGCTACTAAAACAACTA